TTTTTGTTTCTCTCTCTCTCTAGTTGTTTTTACTTTCCATTACTATTATTATTAATAATAATAATTTCAAGTATTAAACTGTTCTTATCTCAACCCACGAGTTTTCTTGCTTTTGCTCTTCCAAATCTCTCCCCCATCCCACCGCAGGGCGGGGAGGGTGAGCGAGCGGCTGTGTGGTGCTTAGTGGCTGACTGGTTAAACTCAGTTAAACCACGACACCATAGTAACGGAAGAGTGAGTAGTATACAGTATGATGGTTTTCTCATTCTTTTGTCATCATGATATCACTAATAACTGAATCCTTGCAGTGAAGACAGCATTGCTACTGATCGGCTGTCAGCCCACCATAGAGAGCCTTACCTTGAAACCTGGCTTGACAGAATCAGAGCAGCGGAACAGTGTAGAACAGTGGAAACTGCAGGATCAAATAATTCTCAAAAGATGCTCTCTGCAAGACTCTCTCCCACGTCATCTGATTCAGAACAGTTGGATTTAGGTCAGAACATGAAGATTCCAGTAAGAAGCAGTGATAGTGCATCTGGTGCATCTGAGAGTGGAAATGCCAGTGAGACTAGTATCTTGCCTAACCAATTACAAGTTCATCATCAAGACCTCAAGGAAGTAAATTGTCAGCAGATCTGTGGGTTACCATATGAAATGCTGAAGCATCAGCACTCTACTGATGCCTGGGGACAAGCTTCTTCAGTAAATGTTGCCTGGTCGCCTATTTGTTCTAGGCTAGAAGACAATCCAGATACCACATCCTATGCCCCAATTAAGCTGCCTTCTGATGTTACTTGTAACTCACCTGGAACACCAACAATAGATGAGCCATGGTCTGCGACAACACTGGACTGCAGACAAGACTTTCAAAGCCACATGGTTACAGGGCAGTTGTCAAAAACAAACTTGGTGTGTGATGCAAAACATTCCAGCCTTGAGCACATTGTTGTTGAAAACTGCCTGCTAAATGATGCTTCATCCTTCTTTGCAAATGGAAGAAATACTATCCATGATGTTTGCTCAGGAAATAAAATGGGTTGCAATGCTTCTGCACCAGGAGTTGCCACAACCTCTGGAGACGTTAAAGAATCGGATGCGGAGCTGAACTGTATTTGCTCTGGTCTTGAGGTACTGGGTCTGAATATTGGCATCAAGGGGAACTCAGATAATTGTTTAGGTGTTACTGCAGCTCTTGTAGGAGCATCCTCCTCTAGTGCAGTGGACTCAACTGTAGGCTATGTGCTAACTCAGAAAAACAGTGCCTTTTCAACTGGGCAAGAAAAGCAGCTGTTGAATGGTATTGCCATAGAAGATGGTTCTGGGTGGCTGGCCTCTCAAAGGCATTTAGAAAACGCTGAAGAATCCTCCAAAGCATTTCTTGAGAAGCCTGAAACTCTTGCAGAGACTGTGGGGGACAACGTCAACAGAAACCCACTGAAAAGCAAAGGTAGTCCTGAAGAAGACTGTCAGTTGCATGGGGAGCAAAATACGGAGATAAAAGTAACATCGACCCCAGTGAAACAAGAAGAAAGGCCGAATCCAGCAGCTCCTTTGACCTTGGAGATTCTGGAAGGCAGCTACACTGGGAATTCCTGTCACAGAGATGGTTCACAATTAAGTAAGTTAAACCTATTTCTCCCCTTCCCAAAACTCTTATCGGGATGCTTTTTTTGACCCACATTTTTGCAGAAGGCAGACAATTCTGGTTAGAAGCTTGCAGTGGAGATGAAGGAAGAAGCTCTAGCATCTAGAAGAAAAAGTGGTATTTAAGTCTACTCAGAGGGTATTGGAAAAGCAGGTGGTATAAAATACAAAGTTACTAAGAAATTAATCCAGACTGAATAGTCAGAAATATTCTTAAAACACAATTAAAAGATTTGAACCTGATAACTCCTTCTGAACAAAAAATATAAACTCCATTGTAAAACTTGTATTTAAATTGTGTAGTGGAATGTGTTTCGTTCACTCCTTCAGCTGGATTCTGTGGCTTGTTGTATAAAAACCCCATTTTTATCTAATTTAGAATAACAATGTGAAATTAATAACCACAATTGGACACTGACAAAAGTTTCTGCCGGAGGGCGGGAACTGTGGAGGTAGCTGCCAAGTATCTCTAGAATAGCTGTGCTTTTGTCAGCCCCTCTGATGATTCCTTGCTGAGTAGGTGTTCCCCAAATGAATAATGGAGGAATTCACTTTGTTAAGAGCTCAGAATTTTGTCCTAAAATGTCTGTGGTCATGTTCAACACTAAAGTTTCATTCTACCATTTGACTTCCTCATCTGTTTCTACAGGTATAGTCTTTGAAGTGAAACGTGTAGAACTGCAGGACCCTGCCATACTTTTCTGTGTCTGGGTGGTGAAAGACCTTCTACAGAGCCAGAAGGAAGCTGTAGCAAAGACTCAGCTTTTGCTCTCAAGTCTAGCAAGCTCTGCCCAGTCTATTGCAGATCTTTCTACACATAGTGTCGGAGAAGTACGAAATTCTACCATTGTATAATACTGAGCATTTCTCTCCTTGTTTGACTGTTAAGCTGAAGCTAAAGTTGAAAACTTTTTCAGATTAAAATAATGTCATGAGGTGGTGGGCGGATATTGCTGTTTCTTTGTTTCCCTATTTTTATGTCAAAAGAAATATTTCTTTGCTGTAAAAAGGACAATTGCTATTTTGTAATATTTCTGGTAGTGTGTGTTTGGCTTAGTGTAGTTACCTTTGCAGTCTGAACAATGAAAGCACCTAATTTTAAATTTGTTCTTAGGCTGGTTTAAGTACATCTACAATAGAAGTTTGTACCAGTGTGGTGAGATTAATTTTTAAATCAATGTAATCACACTGGCACCAATGACACAACATTATTAAAAAAGGAAATACTAGGCTGAAAACTGTCATTGACTGACTTGTGTCAACAAAAGAAAACTGCAGTTTTTAGCTGCCTCCTGAGATGCTGCATTCGGGATGATATACAGAAAGCTAACAGCGCAGAGCTGAACTGTAGGTACATGTCAATGCCGCAAAACCCGAACACAGAACTGCTCAGGCCTGCTTTTTAGTTAGTAGTGGGATGTAAAGCTGACAGTACTTTGACCAAGGCTGTACAGGAAAATAGTATCTTTGATCAATAGAAATAGGTAACGGTGATCTTCTAGAACCCTTGCATAAATGTAAGGGTTTTCCAAGATCATTCCCTAGATCTTTACGTAGCTGGATTTTATGATGACCTTAACAGAGAAGTACATACATATTTAGATATCACGTGTAACATGTATAATGGTGGCAGTTCCAAACTACAGGAGACTCTAAGGAGCTGCTGTTTATTGACAGGTACTGCAGATTAGACATTTAGTTTCCCTCCCCTGCCTTGCCTTTAATCAGTGAGTTGGGAGATAAAGTAGATATTTGAGTGAAAAACTTGTCTATTGGCAAAACTTGCTATTTGGAATATTTTTTACGAGACCTTTGAGAGCTGAGTAATAAGGTAGCTCTTGTTTTCCTTTTAGAAAATCATCTTCTGTGTATGTCAAAATGCATGTCAAAATATAAGCAGTTCTGACCATTTCATGTATAACTCCAAATTCACTGTTCAAAACAAACGCCCCTGTGAGATTTGTTGTGTTTCCTCTCAGTATGGAATACTGTGTATGTCATAAAGATGTTCTGTTGTCATGCATTTTAGACGCCATCTTTGGTGGAGAAACCTAATAATCCCCAAGCCCCATCCTCAGAGCAAGAAAAACTGTGGTGTTTAATTTCTCATGTAGTGTTGCAGGCCTTGGTAGAAAGGCATGCAATATTTCTTTACTAGGGATTTTACTGGAGTGTTAAAATTTAGGAGGGTATGCCTTGAACTTGTTTGCTCTTTGTGTCTGCTAAGAGACCAATCTACAGAACTAAAATGCTATCTTACCAGAAAGTTTGGTAAACACTGGTCACTTAATATCTTTCATATACTAACTCTTTTTAGATTACTGAGGCCAAATTTATAGACAGGGCTTAAAGCAGCACCTTTTTAGTTCTGTCCATCTAGAATACACTTACCTGGAAAAATTACAATATTGAAAGTAACCTACTTCTTATTCATCAAATAAAATTATCATTTGGTGATAGACCACAGTGAATTCATTTTCCTACTTGCACAGAGAATTTTGTGCGAGCATCTAAGGTGCATGTGCGTCTGTTTTCTTTACCTTTCTCCGAGTTAAGGAGTATTTATAGCTGCTGAGAGCTGACTGTTGACTTAACCTGTCTCATATGGTGATGGTTACATCAACATACGGTTCTTGCTATCAAAACCAAAGATCACTCCTTTTAGCTATTCTTGCAAATGTGTACTTTCTTTTCAGTATTTACTTCATATTATAAAAATGATTCTGTGGCTTGCTCATTTTTTTTCTTGCTATTTTTTTTTATCTGTACCTAGGCCATTAGATCAACTTCACTTTTTGAGAATTCACGAAGAACTGAAGAGCTTGAAGGATTAAGGGCATGTGAGGGAGAATATGCAAAAAATTACAACACTCTCAGTCTTATTGGCAAAGGATCTTTTGGCTTTGTCTGGACTGCCAGGGGCAAGAAAGATCACCAGGAGGTCAAATATTTCTTTTAGATCTCATTTTCAATAATTATTTAGGATGAAAACTGAAAGGTTACAGTGTTCATATTCTGTCAACACTACACTATTAAAAGCTGCTATATGGTAGTTTGGGGTTTTCCTTTGTTTAAACAGAAATCTGAAATCACTAACCTCATGGAAACAGGACGGCAAAATGTTCACACTGATGTAGTATATGAATGTTACCTAAGACAACAGGCACAGAATGAGACTGACCATGTAGCTAATTTAACCTGTTGTAAGAAGTATACATTAAGCTTAACAGAATTACAGGTTTTAGTCTTCCGTTACTAAAGAGAATGACAAACTTCAAAGTCTTTATTGTGCCACAACTCAAGAATGTGGGTAGACATGTTGAGGTTATAGGACCCTCCTCTTTATCAGCAGAAGTATTTTGGGTGTTGAGAGGCAAGCTCTGGTGTTTCTCTGCATGAACGTTAAGTGCTCATTTCCGTCCACTGTACCCCTATGCCAGAAATCACCATTGCTGTAATTGGGTTGATAAGAGAGCTGGCCTGTCAAAGCCTTTAGAATTCAGAGCATCAATAAAAAGAAAATAAATATATTCCATTTCTGTGCATCATTTGACTTCTAGGACTAAATTAGTTTAAATATGTTTAAGGATACTATAAGCAATGCACATTGGGTTACTTCTGTCCTTCTAGTAATAGGATTCACTAACATTTTTCCTGGAAATTAACTTACCAAACACTTAAAGCCATACTTCTGCAGGTGATGCTGAATGCTGTTGTCTGTCTAGGTTGTCGTAAAGTTCATCTGGAAGGAGAGGGTGCTTGAGGACTGCTGGGTAGATGATCCTGATCTGGGGAGAGTTACTCAAGAAATTGCAATCCTGTTGAAGCTGCAGCACCCCAGTATCATTAAGGTACAGTGAACTCAGCGTGAATGCAGTTTGAACTGCATCAGATGGTTCGTTTGAATATTTGGTGTCTCATGTTCCTCTTCAGGACTGAGGAAGTATCCTGTATTAAATCTACCTTTTCAGGAAAGAAAGGAACATACCTATCCTGCTTTGTTTTGGAGGGTATGTTACAGCAGACTATCGCTTGCTTCGACACTTTTACCCCAAACAATTGATGTAAACATAGATCTGAAGGTGTGACTCAACAGAAAAAAAGCCTGTACGTTATTTCAAGATGATAAGATGCATATCTTGGAAGTGTGATGTCACATCTGAACATGTACTAGTTCAGTAAATAATCTGGATACATATCTTGATTCTTGTTCTTTGTTTTGGGGTTGTTGGGTTTGGTTTGGTTTTTTCTCCCCAGAAAGAGAATTCCTCTTGGTTTTAATTCTGCTTTCAGTTTCAATTATGCTCTCTTTTCAAGAAACATTTGTGCCCTGTGAAATGAGATTTCAAGGATTATTATACATATTGATTAAATCTCCAAGAGGAGAGCAGTGTTTGTTTAAAACAAACAAACAAAAAAGGCAGTTTGAGGATGAAGCACATGATTAAAAAGGTCTGTTATTTATAGGTGCTGGATGTATTTGAAAATGAACGCTTCTTCCAGCTGGTGATGGAGAAGCATGGATCTGGTCTGGATCTCTTTACATTCATTGATAATCAGCCCAACTTGGATGAGCCATTAGCGAGCTATATATTCAGACAGGTGAGAGCTGGGAACTTACAGGTGATACATACAGGTAAGATTTGGTTAATATAAGAACCAGGACCCTATTTCGCTCAAAAGAATTACTAGCTAATCAGCAGGCATGCTGAATCGGAGTCATGCTCAATACCTGCAGAACTTTTCCTCATTATTCTGTAGGGCTGATTTCTAGCTAACTGAAATGTTACCTGCAGAAACCTTGTTAAGGTTTACTTAGAAACCTATAACAAAGAAACCTTTACAGGACTTTACTTCATATGAGGATTTCCTATAGAGCCATCGCCTCTTGGCTATGATTGTAGCAGCACACACCCCCTGTCACCAGGATGCCCATTCATGTAGCAGTCACATTTCCTCTGTGGGACAAGGAAAGCGCACGGAAGTTGCCCCAAGCCTCGCTAAAAGCCATGCTTTCACTTAGATCAATGCTTGTTTTAGATTGGTTACAGGGGTAAAGTGCTCTCCTCTTTTTAAGGAATTTAAAATCAAGAAATTATCTTGGATTTTAACATGGCATAATGCAAAATAACTCAAGGTAGTTCACTGTGAGTCAGGAGCTTGCCTGAAAGCTGAATTGTCCTTTGTTCATTGAGTTAACTGCAACAGCAGTCCCCAGGTAATGCCCCCTCACATGTTTTAGAGTAAATTCCCTGCTCTAAGGTATGCAAGAATTACTTTGCCTGTGGTAACCCACCACTGTGTCCACACTCTCCTTGCCTGGGGTGCTGATGGAAGAAGGTAGTGAAAGTGATGCACCTTCTCTGTGTCTGCTGTGCAGTGTGCATTCACAAATTGCGGTCTATGGTCCCTTTAGACTTCGAACGGATAAGCCCTTTTCCTAAACCAATCTTGAGTTTGTAGGGGTGCTTTCTTACTTCAGACCTGTACAGTATTTCTCTGCAGATGGAGCTTTGTATTATAAATGGAAACCTTTCTCCCTCAGCCATCTGCTTTTCTTGCTCACATGTATTGTGGTAAGGATCACGATTGTCTCCAAGGTGATATAATTCTGATGCTATTCTTAATTATGGCACTATGGCATGAATCGTGCAAAAAGAAGAATGGAATTTAGGAATGACTATGTTATTTATACCAAACTTCACTCTTAAATGCTTTGTCATCCTGCAATATCAGAGGCACACAGTAATATCCTTCTGAAGAAATCAAAGGGCCCTCCAAATGAAGCTGGGATAAAAATAGAGTAACCTGCAGGATTGTAACAGTAAGCTCTGATGCTTCTAACCAAAAAAACAAGCACATCGTGACTATAGCATGCCATCTTCTTCCACATTTGTGAGAGGAAAGCAAGCAAAGGCTTTTTTAAGTCTCACTCCCAAGAGCATTGTAACACCCACTGCAGCAATGCTGACAGGCATGCCTGAGTTCATTTCCAGTTACCAGTTACCAGGATCTGTATCTCGTTTATATAGTGTCAAAACAAGCCAAAATGTGGCTATTGGAACTCTGTGATGCCACGTAGATTATCCAGAAGGACACCTCTGTGCAGTAACACCTAGTTCTTTCTTCCTCTTTCAGCTTGTATCAGCTGTTGGGTATCTCCACTGTAGAAACATCCTTCACAGAGATATCAAGGATGAAAACATTGTCATTGCTGAAGATTTTGCAATTAAATTAGTGGACTTTGGTTCAGCTGCCTACCTGGAACCCGGCAAATTGTTTTATACCTTCTGTGGGACAATTGAATACTGCTCACCAGAAGTGCTGTCTGGCAAACCGTATGTCACCCTCTGAAAAGTAATTTTTGTGTCTATTGCACCAAAAAAATGTGTGTGCAGGGCTGGAATAGAGAAGCAAGCTGCTTTGCCATTGGCACTCTGCTGGAGTAGCTCACTGCAGAAAACTGCAGTGAGATTTAGGGCGCTGCAGTGACAGAAATTACTTGTGAAGGTTTGAATGCTTATAAAGTAGGGCACTGCGGTGACAGAAATTATTTGTAAAGGCTTGAATACCTACGAAGTTGTTTCTGACTATGTCTGTTGACAGGCTTTCTTATTCTGGTTAGATGTTTTGCAAAGCCTTGTACTAATGTCTGTCCTACTGCAGAGCCGAGTTCAAGAACAAGCATATGATTTTCATTTCCAGCCTGGTAGAAGAGTCTGGATGAGTTGTGTTGTGACTTGAATCCTTTTCCCTTAATCTTTCATAACGTGTACGTCAGCTTGCTAACCTTCTCTTCATACCTGTATCTGAACACACTGACGTGTCTCTACTAAAAGCAGCTCTTTTAGGGAGGTGGTATAAGCAAGTGTTGCTGTATAGCATCTGCCCCTTACCATGTCTGCATTTTGTAGTTCTTCCACTCTCATCTCATCTGTTCCCTTCTTTCCTACTTGCTTCCCTTTATGAATTTTTGCAGTTTGATCATTGTTCATCTCCCCATTGATTTTTGTGCTCCTCTGGACTCAAGGGTTCTTCCCTTGCAGCTTGCTGCTATCTTGGATGTGCTGCCGAAATCTTAGCTGTCTTTTTCCTATTCTCTCCTTCTCTGAGTGCTCTTTACCTGGAGGCTGGCAGTCTCATACCCACTCCTGGAGGGAATCCTTACCATCACAGGGTGGTAAACATTAATTGTACGTACAAGTATGTTATCTTGCTCTTATTTCACAGCTGTTTTCATGGGTCCTTCAGGCAGCTCCTCTTAATGGGGCGGGGAAAGCTATGCAAGGAGAGGAAATCCCTGCTGGGAACTAGATGGAAGATGAAGCAGCGCTGCCCTGGGAATTCAGCCTGTTACTGTGTGAAGAAACTGTCCCTTTTTCTCAGATGGAATCTAGATAGTTAATATTTATTTCCAAATAACTTTTGTTTTGAAGGGGATGGGAGGGGGCAAATGGGATTCCACTGAGTGTCTGATCTTCCATTTCAATACTTACTTGATAGTTTTGGCTTATGGTGAAGAAGGAGGATGCTTAAGTTCTCTTGTCACCAGCTTAAACATGTGAAAGGCTAGGTGCATATTATACGTACTCATCAACTGAAATTGGTTGGCCGTTCTTTGGTTTCATGGAGAAGGATAATACAGACTTTTCAAAAACACGTGAGATCCTTATTAGAATTCTCACAAACTTCCTGTGTTAAAAATTGGAAATAAGGGCTATCAGCTGCATTTTTTCTTTTTACTTTAGCGCACAATTATGTATTTGCAATCTGAGTTTATGCAAGTTTATTTCTGCATAGGTACCATGGCCCTGAGCTGGAGATGTGGTCACTTGGTGTCACACTTTACACCCTAGTATTTGGAGAGAATCCCTTCTGTGAGCTGGAGGAGGCCACGGCAGCTGTCCTGAATCTTCCTTGGCCTGTGTCAAAAGGTGAACTTTTCCCATTTGCTTTTCTAAAGGAGCAGATCTCTTGGGAAAGTATGAGCAGTATTTATTCCCTGGAAATAAAGGAGAAGATTGGAAAAATGCTTCCAAATGTGCTCTGCAATGATTTTAAAAGCTGCTCACTGAAGCAGAGTTATCCGAGGTAATCCTATTCAGGGAAGTTCTGCAGTTCTTCATGCGTACAATGAATACAGCTATCTGCCGTATGTTTTATTAGTTTCAAATTCCAGGCCTCTCATTTATTATGATGATTCAGCCCATCAGCTTGTCAAGCTTCAGTGAGGTTTATACATGAGAAAACCAGAACAAATAATGCCTGATGGGAAGGTTCGCGCTAGTAGATAACTTTAAGATCAATAATGGCACTCTTGTAACTCTAACACAAGTTCTATCTCACTTGAACTATTGCCAATCCATGCCATGTCACTTTTGGGACGGATGATAATGTGTTAATTTATAATTTCTGAATGAATTGTATGGCTTGACCTCACAGGAAAACTACATTGGCCTTGTTTTCTGTTGGAGGTGTAGAAAACTAATTGAGTGTCAGGCTAAAGAAATCTTCATCAGCAAGTTCTCTGGGGTCGTTAGGAGCACTACGGTTATAAGGCTTCAGGGTGCTGCAGTTGACTGGTAAATTCTCAAAGCTTTCCCTGAACCCCAAGTGCACTTTTAGTCACAGATCAAACACGGGATGACTGCAGGGCAGGACTGGGCTCGGAAACAGTGAGGCAGAGTTGCCTCTGTGGCATTTGCTTCTACTTCGGTCCTCCTCAGTGTCGTAACTCTGCGCTCAGTTCTCTGTTTTCACAACCTGGAAATCTCAGATCATTCCCAGAGCTGAGCACATGTGACTAAGACTGTGGAAGAACAGTACTGCACAAGGGATTAACGGGGAGGATTTGTAATTAAAATCTGCGTTCTTTGAATATAAACTATATCTTGCATTCCCAGCATGCCTAGAATACAGACTGAGCCATTCCTCTTACTGCTGTCTCTCCCAAGGTCTCATGAATCTAATCGCTGGGCTTTTGCATCCTGATCCAGAGCAGCGTGTGACTCTAGCGATGTTAGTAGAGGATCGCTGGCTGAAGCAGCCTGTGAACCTGGGTGATTATACCTGGGAAGAGGTATACATCCCTGCTGGGACAGGTGAGCCGTTGTTTTGAAGGCTTTCTCCTCCGCCCGGGGCCCGCCAAGCACACAGGAATGATTTATAAGAGAAGGCTGAGCTGTGGTTGGCAAGATACTTCTCATTAGAAGGTCATCTGCTGATACCCAAATGTGCTCAGTTTAAAGATATGCCTGTTGTCCAGCGGGACCTGCGGTTCACCTCTCCCTGTTTGTCTTTCTCCCTAGAAAGCAGCAGAGTCAGAAACAGTTCTGGTGAGCGCACACATGCAGACAGGCTCCCAGCTCCTCGCGGGGAGAGTGAGCCATGCTTGAACGGCTCACATGCTCTCAATTGAGTGTGCGGATCCCTGCTGGGAAGAAGCAGCGGCCGAGGAGTGCCAGGGCTGGGGTCTGGGGCATCGCTGCCATCCCTCCCTGCAGCACAAGCCCCTCGCTGTGGAAGTATAGCTCCCTTACTGCAGGACACATGCTGTCACTCGAGAACCAATGGGAGTTAATTGTAAGAACTTCTCTCTTGTAGAACAATTGCTACTCCTTTCTTGTAGAAAGATCTGATGGTCAGCACTGAGCAGGAGGCAGGGCAGCCTTGAGCTGCTCTGCCTGGGCACGATTCCTCTAGAAAAGCCTCTCACTAGTAAGTGTTTGTAATTGTTCTTATACAGGATGTGCATTAAAGCTGAGGCAAAGATTTTAAGATCTTGTTTAAATTGTTAATAACTCAGAATATATTTTTATTGGCTGTTTTTACCTTTTATGTGTAGTGTCACTCTTTCTGAAAAGGGAATGAATAAACACCTTTGTCTCGATTGACTGCCCTCTGCCTGTTGGTTGGAGTTTGTGTGCACAAAGAGGCCTCAAAAACAGACACAGAATTGCATAATGTAGGGGGGAGGGGGTGTCCCCTTTTGGTCAGAGTCCTCTCTGTATCCAGGAACATAGTCCTTGATTTTGATGAGACAAAGGTCCAGGGAAAGAAAAAAAACTGATTCCATAAAGAGAATTTTAAACAATTCAAAATACTGAGACAGGGCGAGCTCGTGCACGGTGCTCGGGAGGAAGCACGGTAAGGGCAGGGGAAGTGGGGGGCCGCGTCCCGCAGCAACTACCGTGCCTTCTCCTGGGGGGGGGCCAGGCCGGCTCTGGACCCCATACGCACGCTCCTTCCGAGGCGGTCGGAGGCGCTCGGGGGGTCAAGCGCTGCCTGCAGCGGAAGCGTGACCGCTCCAGC